CAATTAAAAAGTATGTTTTTTTTCTCAAAAATACACTCAGGAGAACAAAATATTAAGAATGAAGACATGTCAGTATTATTATTAGAACAGTGCATTTCTAAGTATACACTTTTATGATTGTTTACTTATTCTCTATTTGTTTACTATCGAACATTAATAATTCTAAGGACTAGAATGATATTTTGTTGGATTACATAAGACTAGTTAATAATCAATATTTTCAACATAGCCTCTATAAATTCAAAGTTAATTTAGATATCCCATGAGTTGTATATAATGATTCTTTAGAGATGTGAACAGAATTCAGTGTTAACTGTAAAACAAATGCTTTATTACGCTTTTTAGTTGCTCTTATTTTGAGTAAAGTGATATTTTACTGATAAATCAATCAGATTTAAGGTAGTGACTTTAGGATTCTTGCAGAATTTTGGAATTCGGTGACGAATGTACTCGTATTTGAAAGAAATTCAAGTAAAAATCTTTCAATATTTGACTAATAAGATGCTCAGGATTAATAAACATAGGAAAACTGAAGAGTAGGGACCATTATTCATGAATCATTGTAGGTAACTTAGAGTTTGTTGATTATTAAAATCAAAGAACTAACTGCATAAGTGGTCATCCTGTGAATACGCTACTACTTTATTTTAATCCACTATCTCTAACTCAAACTTCTGATCCTAAGTTTTTTTAAATTTTTTGTGCAACTAGTTATTCATTCATACTATTTTCATTCTGATTGGCTAAAAACTAATCTCGCTTTTTCAAGGTTGTCTTTGTGCGCTGCTGAAGGTTATCGGGTAACTACACCTTCACCCTACTTTACGATAATTTCAGGTAGTGACAAATCTTATTCCAACAAAGATTTTCTTTCCATTACAATTGATAAATTTAGCAGTATAGGGGTTGTGGAGATTTTTAAGTTTTGATTAAGATCATGAACCGATTGATGTTAGACCATTATTGAAAACCTGGAAGCATTGGACGGCCGTTTTGTCCTATTGTGGGACTCTTCAGCAGAGCGCGAGCGGGATCGTGGATGCGCACTGCTGAAGAGTCCCACAATAGGACAAAACGGCCGTCCAATGCTTCCAGGTTTTCAATAATGGTCTAACATCAATCGGTTCATTATCTCAATTGATAAATTTACATTATTGTGTTACAAATTAATTCAACTTTTATGCCCGAGTATAAATATTTCATTAACACAAGCAAAGAGCTTCCTCGAGACGTTGGACTGCATATTGAAGAGACTGTTAATCGATAGTCCCCTAAAACGAAGCAAAAATGACCCTGAATGAATAATTAAATTAAAGAAAGAAAGTAGAGAGATTATTCAGCTCAATGCCATGAACGTATAAGCAAAAGGACTGTTTTGTATTTAGTTTTTTTTAAACGAATGTAGAACACTGAATCCGATAAATAGGATCAGATATTAGGAGAGACTATAAATTATGATAATGTCATTCGTTAATATTATCACATGAAACAGTGGCATTTTCTTTTTTGAAAGATGTAAAGACTTAAATATAAATGGTAACTTATGTTATAATCCCTGTTGATTTGTCTAATGCATGGAATTCATGAAATGAGTTAATATAGTGTAAAGCTGTACAGAAAATATAAGCAAAGTAGGAGATTCAGGGTCGAAAACAGCTAATTAGAATGGTTTAACTGAAGAGAGTAGAACTAAACCAAAGTTGATCAGAATGAAATGGAATATTTTTTAAATTTCTGATGAGGTTGTTTCAGTGTAATGAATTAAAGAGAAATGTATTGGTCCTAAACATGAAGAAGCAAGAAAATGTGAAAATAAGAGGTACTAGGGTCATGGTAACGAATCTTATCACATTAGACGTTACTGTACATATAGGTATGGCCTATAGTTGATTATAGATTATACCTTTTAGTGTAAAGGAATCCAATGGTATGACTTTTGATATATTGAATTCAATCTCGTAAATAATGTCAAGCGATGGACTTAAAACGTCCTTTGTAATATGTTTAGAAATGTTCCTGAATCAACACTTACTAGACCTAAATCCCAAAAGGCAGTTGAACAAGTATACAGACACTGAAGAGATTATTTAGAGTAGTTTGTCGTTCACAAAGAGATGAATCATAAAGTAACTAGTGTATGAAATTAAGAGTTTGGTCTAACGATCTGACCAGACAGATCCTTAGTATCTTTCCCACTACTAGATTTTAGAGTATGAACATGTTATTAACATTTAGATCGCTCATGATAGGAATTAAGTCTCCCACATAACATAAAATTTAGTTTTAGGGACCTATTTTGTTTTTCTTGATATTATTTACGCAGAATTAAAGATGATAGTTCACTTTCTAAGTACAAAACTAAAAATTCGTAATTTGTCTACTCCAGGTTTACCTTATACGGATAGATCTTTACTGAAATCTGTCACTTTTCTATGTAACTAGGACTTAAGAAAAACAAATAAATAAACCCTTCTTTATTTTCAAAAGTGAACTATATAGATGAGTGATATAGATTGGATAGCTCAGATATGACTTTAAATTGCCTTTTTCGTTACATATTTTTGCATCATCTCTCACAGCGTCTCACTTTTAAGACTGAAATGAATAATAATAGTTCTCCTAAGAATGAACCCTTTTAAGGATGAAGTAGGTATATAAAAATCCACGCTGTATATATAAATACCACCACAAAAGGCAGACCCTAAACTAACAAAATATGTCTGGTAAAACAATAAATTTACCAGACCATTAAGTTCTGAACAAAACCAATCTGTTCACATAAATTTTGGAAGGATTATTTACAAAGCTATTTGCTAGAATAAGTTATTGTAATTCCTTTCTTCGTATATAGTTGTCCTTTTTACTAGAGTATTATCATGGTGGATTTTAGTGAAACAACCAATATTACTTTAATAACTACTTTGAGCATGAGTATAAATTAGGTTTCATCTACTTGTTATTTGACTTAACATTTCAGCATAAATATGACAGGTATGTGAGAGACACATCTGAAGCGGAAATCCCGTTTATCAAACTATTTCCAACAAAAGCTTAGAATATCAACAAAACAATGAAATACTCACGAACAATATCTACTTTGGTAAGTTTGTGGTACTTTCATTATCATTTATCAAATTAGTGATTTCAACGAAAGTAACCTGTGAGGTCTATGAAATTATTCAATCATCTTTAAACTACTTACAAGTAGTATAAGTACATTTTAAAGCATCGAAAACCGCTCATTTGTTGAGCTATATTTTCTTGCAATCATGTAAAACTGATTAGCGAGAGGTTAGATCCCAAATAAAGCCATATTTATCTGGAATTTTTGACACAAGTAATTTAATGCTGACTTAACCTTAGACCGAAGTTTGAAAAGACTACTGAATAATGTTTCAGTTAATCGTTTGCTTTTCTTTTAGAAACTCATTCACTAGGTGGTGACTTAGATGAACTACGCTTTGAGTGTGAGGACTAGCGATACTACTCAGTTGCCTTAACCAATGTAGATGGAGCAGGATTTTACCCTGGGATTTATTAGCTAAAAGTTAAATGCTTTAAACACTGAAGAAATTTGTAATTTCACTTCCTAGAAATTACCAGAATTATAAATTCACAACTCAGTGATAAGACTGGTAGATTTATATGCGAAAATTTTCAGTTACACATAATTTTTCTCTCTACTACGAATAAATATATAACTGACACTGAAAAATGGGATTTGCCACCATTTTACTAGTTAGAAACAGACGATCTCAGTTAAGTGTACAATACCATTATAAGTATTATGTGATAAGATAATACCAGTACGAATATGCAGTATATATATATATATATATATATATATATATATATATATATATATATATATATTCAAGCTTCAAAAAACAGCGTTATGGACTACCAATCGAAATAAATTTTTAAATAACACATTCATTGCCTAGAAGTAAATATAATTAACAGACTATTAATATAAAGTAATGAATACTTAGGCACGTGGAATGATTTTAGATCAGAACAACACCTATTGGTACATTTACATAAAAAATGTATTAGGAACTCATCAAGCTACATAGTGAGGGTCGTGGTTGATGACTGACAATCGGTATACATTAGATTTTGACAGAGGTGTACCTGTATCAGTATTCTAGAAGTAAAGACAAATAAAAAATTTCTTAAATTTCTGATTGAAATTAGCCCTGTAGACAAAACGATTCGTAGTCATAAGGAAACAATTAACCAATAAAATTTCGAGAAAAAGTTAAACAGAGGTAAAGCTGATGCTTTCATGTTATTGGGTTGAAATGCCAATATAAAGAAATTAAAGAATTCTACCATATTATTTACTTTTAAGTTTATTCAGAAATTTCATTTACCGACGGTAAGAATTATGAATGAAATCGAGGTTATAGTGAACAAACTTATGCATGCGTACCTACGTTCGTTGACTGTTCTATAATAACTAATTATAATGGAATTTCATAAAGATATTGAACGATTGATGACACTAGGCACTTCATAATTGGGAACTTCGTAAATCCTTATTTAATATACGTAGTTGTGTTTTAGACATTCTGATCATTCAAACAACAAATACAAGCATAAATTAGCCCTTATCACTGATACAAAATTTATTGTATGAACTGTTGATGTATTTATTATTTTTTGTTTTGTCGGATTAACTGCTTAGTGGGTTCACTCAGTTCTTCACAAGATTTATGATCTAAGAACTAATTAATTTCTGGTGAAATATTACTGATATTAAAGTTAAACTTTATTTATGGCGCAAAGGTAAGAAACAGAAATCAAATCTCTTATGAGATTTTATCAATTTAAATAAGAAAAAACCCTAATGAATCCCATAACCTTCTTACAGTGGCGATATGTCCACAAGTAACTCCTTTACGAGAAAACTTATACAACGGTAGTGATGCTAAATGGGCTTCAGCTTGTTTATTATTCGTTTTTTTATTAAATAACAAGTCGAAACGATATACATACACGATCCATCAAATTATGGAATCTCTTATTTAGATATTGAGAAAACTCGAATTCTGTGATTTTTATAAAACAAGGTTACCGCAATGCTACGTTTCTCACTGTTTTGTAAAAGAACGGTGAAGGAAACTGCAGAAAACAAAAAGGCAGCACAACGTGGGAATCATAAAACTGTTTTACTTTTAGTAACATCAAAGTTATAATACTAGGGTTATCAGGTATAATGTTCCAAAATTCAGTAATTGTGCTTTAGTGTCTGGTAGCAAAAAAAATGTAATAACCTATCCGTGCAGCTACATAAAATTAAAAATGTAGCACGATAATACGATAATAATGAATGTTTTTCATGTTGATTGTATGAAACCGTATTTTTTAAGAGTTCTTTTATGACAGCTGTTTACTATTTGGTAGACTTGAAAGAGGGTTCAATTAATGACATCACATTGCAATCTCAAGAATACTCTTGTTCCGAACAAGAACAGTGCTACAATTAAAGACCCTGTCAGTATTTGATATGTACAGACATTGATCAGAGCTTTCTATTTTTAACCATCACACATTAAATGACTTAATATATTAGTCATTTTGTATTTCATTCATAAACTTTGGTAGGAAACTATCATTTCAGCAACCGTTTCATGTAAAATAGTCACTAACATGAAATTATATCTTTTGCTATTCGTATGCACTTTTAATCAAAAAAATTGAACTACCTTCTCTAAGGACAGGCTAAACACATGTTCAGTGTGTATTGTTTGTTTTTTCTTAACAAAAATAGATATTATGCAATAATTACTAAACAAGAAACTTGGAACAGTTTAGAATATTAAGATAAGAATAAAAATTGAAAGTGGATGTGATACAGCTTCAAATTCAAAACACGCAAAAAATATCAAATAAATTTCAATCATAAAATAGAAGTCTTATTTTTATCCAGCATGACATGTAAAAATATTCCTCCATACCAAACTAATTTCATGATTTGTATGCGTTGTAATTTGTCAATTTGTCAAGAAAATGTACAAGATTTCCATAAAAGAATGGACAAAATCTGCTTAATAATTAAGCGTTATCTTGACAATAAATACAATGCTATAATGACACCGAATCAGCGAAAAAGAGGAAAACTAAGCGGACTATATAGTGTGGATAGGACTTAGATGTAAATATCACAGATTAATTAAGCAGTATAATAACTATTAAAGTGTTGAATACATAGCTGAAGTAATTCAATTGATTTTGGACACAAATAGTTAATCTGTACAAATTGGCACCTTGCCTAATGCTCTAGATATATCAAAGTGGCAAATATCATTCAGTCCTCCACCGACACGTTCACCAAAGAAGTCAAACACATATAAATTTGGCATTTTAAGTGAAAGATCTTCAAGTATATTATCAACAACGTGATTACATTGAGTCAAATTTAATATCACTAAATGAGGTACCTTTAACGGGATATCAGCAAATGCTTTTCCTTGAATAACAGAATTCCCAATAAGGCTTAGCTGACGTAAAGAACTGCATATTTCAATTATTTGGTTCACACCAATATCAGTAACTTCCCAACACCAGTTTAAGGTAAGAAAGCGTAGGCGACTACCACAACAACTACAAATATCCATCACTACTGAATCATTCAAACCAGGAGCTTCACTTAAATCTAAGTGTTCAAGATACCTCAACTTTAATTGATGGTCCAAATGACTTAGACTTTTGGAGACAAATAATGAGCTTAAACCGGTAGGACTGACTTGGTGAGTTTTCCGCAATGTAAGAGCGACAAGATTTGAAAGGTTAGCTATGGATTTAATTGCTTCATCTTCAACATGATCACAAAAGCTAATCCACAGTTGTTGAATTCCAATTATATTGTGTTCAATTTCTGGATTTACAAGATTTTCAACGTCTAATATCCGTTTCGTAGCACATTCCAATCGAATAATGAATTCATTTAATCCGGAATTTGAAAGTTCAAAACCATCCAACCATATCGCATCAAGGTTACCATTACGCACAGCTTCGCTGTCGGCCAGATGTAAAACACCGGTGTCTGTAATCCAAAGAACACCATCCAAGTTAAGACGGCGTAGATTGTGTAGTCCACTTGAAATTACTTTTACACATGTATCACACACTGAAACACAATGTGACAGATTGAGCGCTTCTAACTTTGGACACCTAAGTACTAAAGTAGTAATGAAATCAATCTAGAAAATATATCAAAAAGTAGAAGGAAGTTAAAACATTTAAAAGTAATAAAACTTTTATCAGTAATGAATGATAGGACAAATATGTAAAGTATACAACAATCTGCTTAAATGACACCTATTCATAAATTATTTTCCACAAATAAAATATAAGATATATAAAATACAATTTAATAAGTACTATATTCATCGTAACTAGTTACTTATTACAATGGAGGACGAAAATCCAAGCTATCACAAAAACACCAGGTAAACAAACACATAAAACTTGATGATATTGCCGTTTTTTGAGCGACATGGTTTGGTCGCAGAGCTTTGTTGTCGTTTCGGACAACATCTTCAGCCTGCTCTTTCGTGAAGAAGTTAGGTGGGATTCAACCTACAAATCCATACGGAAGGGGTTAATCAATTATTTATTAGTTTGAAAACAAATATTGGTATAAAGGGGCACCGAATACATATGCACCACACAAGTCAATTGATTTTTGTGTGGGCTGTGATACTCCCCGGGTACCCAGACCAAAACAGGTGGTTTCTCTAGAGAGTCACGCCCGGAGCCTTCGACTTAAAGATCTGATCCACAAGGGAGTGGAGCAACGTCAGGAGATGCAGTCCCATAGTAGTCGGTGAGAAACAATAGGTTCATACGCCAATTGTTCCCTTAGGATCCTGGAGCCCGTGTGCACCACTGGTTTAGAATCGGGGTTTTCCAACTCCTTTAGGTGGATTATCTGTATCCACCAATCCGATTAAAGCGACGGACATTCGCTTTTTGTCCCTTCAATCTCTTAAACAACACCCTTGCCGCGAGAAGGCAGTGAGTAGGACTTCCCTGACAGTGACTGTATACGCGTGGCCATGTGAGAGCATTTCGAGAGGGGGAGATAACTCTCCCCATCCTCGGCTGTACCAGGGAATTCGGGGGTTAATCAATTACAGGGTCGGAGGTTAGTTGACAAACACAGCCAACGTGAATACAAGTACACATTAAGACAGCTAATCACAAGCATACCCACCAGAACTAACTGGCATAACACTAGTGGAGCAACTGAAAAGATCACTTCTACATGAAGGAGGGATTAAAGATGTTATTTAGAATAACAATGAAAGCTCTGGAATTAGGCCATCTAGATCAGAGAACACACCACCCAAAGTATCCATCTTGTTAGCGGGACATAGACCGGATTAAAGCATGCTCAATTCACGATTGCTTTGGTGCACGCTGATTGGCTAATCCTTATCCAATCAGTACTAGTCGATATTTGGAGAATACTCTAGAATCTTCTCATGTAAAAAACTATAAATATACTGACGTTTTCTCTATTGTGCTTCGGACTTGCTTCTTACTTCCATCTAACCTTGTTATTTGGAATATAATCTCTTTCCTGTTCAACCGTGTTTTGATTTGGGGACTTGTCGAGTGAATCGGTGTCCGAGAATACTAAGCAATAGGAATAGCTAGGTCATAACCGTAAGAAGAGAGATTATAACACATCTGAACTGCGAATTTCCGTCGCTTTACACATAGCACTGCGAACAAATATTACCATGGTACAGAAAAATTATTCCAGTTACTGTCTCAGCTTTTTGTCAATTTCATAAAGAAAATTTGATTGGTTCGTAAACTTCCGCTTTTAATTACCCTGAGTAATATAGGACCGGTTTGAGAAGCTAAGTAATATCACTAGCGTTAATATAAAATGTGGTTCAAATTCTAGTACAAAAAAGTGCACTTGATATGTCATGTTTGTTACTTATAAGTGTACAACTGTTTTCAATTAGATCGTCATCAGGCTTTACTCTAATATACATGTATATTCATGTATATTAGAGTAAAGCCTGATGACGATCTAATTGAAAACAATTGTTCGCTTATATGTGTTGTTCTAATTTTCACAATGGGAATCTTTAATATACTTATAAGTGTATCAATTCATGACAGAAAGAAACAGCCAACAAAATTATTAAAAAGTCAGATGAACTAAAAGAAAAAAATAGTGAAAGAAGTTGTATGGAATAATGTGCTCATGACCTACAAATAAAACTAAATACTAGATTCATGCTAATTTCTGAAAGATTAGTAATTCCTTTTACAACATGTCTATGGCTACATTCAGATAACAAATTAGTACACTCTATTCAATAAGGTAATGATTGCATAAAGTGAAGATCTATCTTTGCACAAATGATTCTTTTGATCCGACAATAGTGAGAGTTTAAGATGTGAAACCGAAGGCAGAGAAGCAAAACTATCCAAAATTCTAGATATAGTGAATGAGATATTTGTATGTAAGATACTTAAAGGTACCGATGTTTGGAAGTTGATCAGAGATAACAATGAAACCAGCAGAAATACATCATAAGATTGACTTCAAATAATCAAAGTTATTCAAAAAGGTTTTTTTACTATAAAGGAAAGGCTAACACCCAAATTTTCAAATATACATAAATAAATTCAAATTGCATGAACAGTCAAGGAGTGAAGTTTTGCGTACTCAGAGGGGCACTGATTAAGAAATCAAGAAGGACCTAGCTCCCTACTTACTCCAAGTTATTGTTGTTACTGAAAGCGTGCATTTATTCAATTTATAAACTGATGTGTTTCTATTAAATTTGACAGACAGCAACCTAAACGTAGATAATTATGTTCTCAGTGGTTAAATACTTTTTTAAAAACTCGTTCTATTTCACGTAAATTCAGTTTTATGCATATCGACAGCAAAATCAATGACTGACATGACCATGGTCATGACTTTAAACAAACATAAGAAAAACGAACGATACATATCATTATCTGTACGTATATGACCGTCACTTCAATGAAGACACCTACATTTATGGAGTAGATGGATATTGATTTAAGCCATGTAGGCGTATGAGGATATTTTTGTTTGGGTCCGACAAATAAACATAGTTTGCGTTTGAAGACTTTGTGACATATTCCGACATTGATAATAGTGAAAGACTCCTTTCTTAAATTTCAACCAGTGTCAGGCCATATGTCTCACCCAACTCCATCCATTTTTTCACCCTTTTCTCTCTTAGGCTTGCACCACTGTCTGCATATCTTTATCTTTTCTCTTGTAGTGCATCGTGAAAAGAGTATCTGGATTGGTAGTCTGGTCGTGCTGAACTATCAAAAACTAAAACGAGTGGAACAGAACTTACGTGCAAATGTATTAAGCATTCAATCAACCGCTATTTCCACCTTAACATAATTAATACATGACGATTAATCGTTAAAGTACAGGAAAGAGTCTATATGATTGTAATCTAAGACAATACAACTTAAACATTGAGCATATAGCAAGCTTTAAGACTTATTTACAACTGACCAGAAATAAGGGATTCGTAACAAAACTACTAGCATTAAACTCGCTAAAGAGAACGATGTATATACTACTCGATAAAAAAAGTTCGCTTTAGAACAACACTGTCACCAATTCCAGGCCCAACACTAACCCTACAAAAACTCGTTGAAAAGTGAATACTCAATATACTTATCAGTTAAAAATTTGAAAAAGTAGGCTGCTTATTACTATTGTCGGCTCATACTTAAAGATGTCACATCAAAACAACTGGAGAAGGAGTCATCATATGAACCTAGAAAGATCAATTTAGTCTAATAAACCATCAGATCTGATGGTTTCTTATCGATAAGAATCTAGAACCCTAGTGCCAATCAATATCCATCACGCAATAGGTAGACGTTAGGTTTAAAATTTATATTTCTTAGTTGTAATTTAATATTCAAAGGCCTAATAATGCAATGGTGATGAAATGTTAATCTGGAATAATGCGCAACGCATATTTTGGGGATTTCCCCCAAAATTACCCCAAACTTGGGTAGCTGTTAAAGACTTGGCTAATGTCTAGTTGTGAATATTAATTCATGATGATGCAAAAGCTGCCAAAACAATAATACTCAGTCAACACCGAACGCTACTACACTATTAAAAACCTGAACCCAATGTCTAACCGCTTGAACTACAGTAAAAAAAGTATTTTTCATTGATTACCTCTATAGTATTTACACCTTCAACGTTGAGATGCAGTAATGTTGGCGGAAGATTATTCACGAGGATAGTTGTTGCTCGCTCGCTCAAGGTGCTAAACCCTATATTAAGACATGTAAGTAAAGGACAAAGCTTAATAGCATCCGGAAGTACAGACTCAGCATGTTTAAGTGCCAGACATCGTAGAACTCGAAGCATCGGCCGACTGGAAATAGCCTTGACAATCAATTCGGCTGGTATCTGACGTCGTAATACAAGACGGGTGCGAAGAATAGGAGTTAAAGACACATTATACCACAACTGACAGACAGCTGGAACATTGTGCAGTAAGTCGGAGGCTGGAAGAAGCTTGAAAATCTCTAGAATCACATCAAACGGGAGTTTATGTATGGGAGGACTAGGTCCTGGAACACATTTGCTCGCAGAAGGCAAAGAAAACGAAATCTTTGAGCAATCAGCTGAAGTGGCTTGAATAGTTTTATCGAATGAGTTTGAAGGTTTGACACTATTTATTTCGAACTCATCTGATGAATCTTGAGTAATGGGTACTTGCTTCATGTGCCTAAATGATGCAAGTGGTAGCTCATCTAAACAAAAAACACAATGGAGGATCAAAATTCCTTCCTAGAAAATTTTTTTCTATCTATCAACGCATCACAAGAAGAATAGTAGCAACAAATAAAATACCGAATCTGACCTCAAGTGAACCAAGGTCAATGGAAGTAGCCTTGGGCTTGTAGGTCAAACGGTCATAACTTCGGTCGTGGTATTGACCTGAAGAACTTCCTCAGTATACCCTCTCCTAAAAGCTCGTTTTGAAAATAGGAAAATAAAGTTGAACAAATTCAGTATCTACCAACTGTGATTAGGAGAGAAATGTTTTTATTTTTTCGGATACTTTGGTTTCATTTTGTGTTTAGCTTTTGCTCTTGGTTTAGGAGTTTTTGATTCAGGAACCTAAAAAATTGAAGGTTTGTTCCGTATTCGTTATAATTATAGTTGGAACAATATTTGAGTCGATTATTTGTAATTTACAAATAAAATTTGGTGCTTGGATTAGAGTTCGGTTCAATTGTTATTTGGTATCTTCAGTTAGAAAACAGATCTATCTATTGTAGGGCCAGTGAAATGTCACTGAGCCCTAGCCAAATCATCCGGCAGTTGGAACACTGAATGTCGAACAGATCGTCGCTCCCTGCTAAGGTCAAGTACAACCAACGCGCATCAGTTAATCGTATGCCATGGACTGGTCCAAGCGGCAGTGGTTTTACTTTCGCTTGCATCTCCTTTAACTAATATATCTCTGTAATAACGTCCCCTATGTTGTACAGTCTTCAAAGTATCTGTAGTACCTTGATACGTCAATAGGGTAGTCTACGTAAGGTGCTGACCACGAGGTGTGACCTCGACGTTAGCTGGTTCGCCACACCATTCCCGTCTAATTCGAGTAGGTCTCCAATCATTTTCGACATAGATCATCTACGTTGGTGATCTACACTATCATGCATCAATATCGGAAGGCAGCATACACGTGGACGTAACACTAAAGCTATGTTGCTTTTCAGAAAGGATCTGGTGTTATATGGTCTTCAAAGCAGTCGTAGTTCCTTGGTATGACGAAAGGGTAATCCAATTTATATTCTCACCGGAATGTGTGGCTTTGGGGTTATCTTATTCGTCGTACTATTCCCGTCTAACTCCGGTAGGCCCTCAACCATTCGACAAGGATCATCTGTGTGATCCACATTGGTGAGACTGACCAAAGAAACTCGGTATGTTTTTAATCTCTATTTCATTTTTGGTTTATCGATAGATTCTTACTTATGTCAAAAATGAACTATTCCTTAGTATCTATTCTTTCGACCACTGCCTGTCTAATTTTCACTTTTCCAGTCCTATTGCCAAAAAATGAAGACGATATTCCGGAAACTTGCAGTGAGTTTAGGCTATAAAGTTTATGCGCTCTTAATTTCATTTCAGACTGTTCATACAGTGATAGCCATATATTTATCTTAACTCCCGGATTTGTACTGAATAGAAAAAGTGACAAAAAGTCAACAGTATCACACATCATGGGGTTCTATTTGATAAATCTACTAGATTATCTAAATTCTGAAAAGAATCCAAGCCAGTCTTACTATGTTTCTGGTACTTCTTAACATTTATATTTACTAAGACTAGCTGTAAATATGTGATATAAAACATTCCTAAAGCTGTTTTCGGGATAAGATATAGTTAATAGCTTGGAATAACAACATACTGCCATGAGAAAGTGTGTTGTTTTCAGGAGAACCTGTAGTGGCATTGGGCCCTAACTACACAATCCTCAAAGGTGAAAATGAGGCGATTGGGGAAATAGATGTTCAACATTTAACGCGGAGAAAAACCCAACAGTAAAGAAGGCGGTATCAATGAACTGAATTAATTCGCGTTGATCGGATGGCATGGCTCGACCTTGTAGGCGTGGCCCTTGTTGAACGTTACCTTATATCTTTTACTTATACTAAATATATTGTTCTATCTCCAGTCTGAATGTGTTCTCCATCATACATTGGTAATTTTCACGATACGACGAGTCAGTGTAGTCAGTAATGTATCTTCCACGTAAGATCTTATAGATAAGGCAGTTACATCATGACAAATCTACCATTTTAAAATAAGGTCTATTATTAGAACAGTACTAATATCTTAGTAGACCAAAATTCTACAAACCCCACTAGACTGAACGTTAATTTTGCACTTCCTAGTTCCGATTATCAATACTACATATTCATGAAAGCCATTTGGTTAATTACAGTAATTATCTGTGAGAATTATATATTATACCTGTCATATACTTAACATATATTTCCATATGTCACCCTTCAACTTTTAACTTTTTTCTGCCAAGTCCTTTTTAACTGTTGTATTCCTCATAAGCGTACATATTGACCTGACCTGTACATGCGTTGCATCATATCATTTCTATACCATTTGAATCTTACAATTATTTAAACCGCATTTAAAATTTTCCACTTAACCCATAGCAGTCATCGTTTTTATGTATATTTGGGTTTGTAAATCAAGCTATTATATTAATTTCATAAAAAGGAGTTTAACACAGCTATGATAACAAAGCCACGGGATTAAGATATCGTCCTGCATTGGTACAATGACTAAACTATCATGTGATTGTTGGTCACACGAGCATTTAAAATAAGTCTCCGGAACCCACTACTACTAAAATTTACACTAAGTGAATAATAAAATATTTTATTCTCAAATAACTGTATGTTACAGAAGGCATGGCAGTTCAGACAAAATCAAGTTGTTACAGAAGATACAGTTTTTACTGTGGTAGGTTATTCAGGTTGATTTTTTATAAGGTACATTGGTTATAGAGTTATAGGGAATGACACTTCTCACATGTGAATGTAGATAACATTAGCAAAAGCCGTATTGTCAATTGGTACATTTCCAACAGTCGTATCGGGTTTGTTTCACGTTTTAATATTCATGTTGTTTCATATTAATAATAACTCTAAAGCTGTCAAAAAATCAGCCGTTGGTATTAAATATTTTTGTTGATAACATATTTTTAGCCTTTGCCCAAGATGAACACTCAGAGGACGTGCTTGCTTATTCGTATGTGAAACTAAAAAAAACAATGACAACATGACCCGATATTTTGTTTACTCGTAAGAATAAATAGATCAATACCAGGAGGAGTTATATAGAAAAATAGCACAACACAAAAAATGTCAGATGGAGCTACTAGACATTTTGGTTCCGGAAGTGGTCAAATAATTTATTCCCACTGAAAATGACACAGGTATTCAGTGTTTGACAACGCTTCTACCAGTAACACCTTCTAATATGATTTGTACCCACCGAGAGAAATCAAAAGACAGAGTCGAGGAGATCGGGAGAGTGTATTTGGCGATAACCAATATATCGGAATTCTCTGATCTAATCTGGCTAGCGATTGCGGTAGATGGTGAGCACAGCGTTCCCACACGTGATCTGGTGCGGATGCCTGACCGAGCGCCTTCATCTAAATGAGTCCACTAAAACATATGGTCGGCATCCAATGTCGAAAACTTACAGGGCTATTTATTTTGGGGATTTATTTACAGCTACAGATCACTATCCCACTAGGGGGGTGATGACCCTAAGACGTGGCCAGCCAGAAGTTTAAACCCAGCGAGTTTGTCGTTGGTAAACACTTCTGATAGCCTGCTAGGATTAGCAGCGTCTGGTCGTCTTTCCTTACTATATGGGACCGAGGTACAACATAGTAAAAAAAGAAAAAGTACAATGAAAATTTCAGCTCCTCATAAACGTCATTGTTCTTTTCCAGCCGTCCCGGAAAAGAGAAAAGAAAATGTAAGTGCATGTCGAAATACACTCGTATGTGCGTAAAAACAAAATGTCGGCGAAAAAAAACTAATTTACACGTAATATCGTTAAGAAAATTTATTTTTAAATAAACATATATAAGCATATTAAAATTGTTTTTTTCTTCTTTATATATATTATATATCGTAAAAAGAAAGATCGAGATAACGTTAAATGTCTAGTAGTGCCTTACGTGCAATAGTCGTTTAGATGTTCTGGAAATCTAACTCTTCTTCCAGAACGCATCGTTTTAAGTTTATTTTCAGATACATTCGGAGTATCATCGCGTGTGTTGGTTGTCGATTGAGGAATTATGAGTGGAGTCGTGTCGTTCGATTGTACCAAGGGAAAATCGACATATATAGGAGTTCCTTCTAAATACGCTGCTTTGAGGCGATCGATGCTGATGCTATCGTTTGTTCCGTTCTTATCGATTAGATGGTACTTCGGTTCGCGTTGAAGAACTTTGAAGGGTCCTTCGTATGCTGATTCGAAGGGTCGTCGATGCGAGTCTCGACGAATGAAAACGTGTGTACTATATCGTAAGTCAGGTTGAACGAAAACATCAGTTGATTGCGGTTGAGAGGAAACAGGTTTAACTGAACGATTTGCGTTTGTAAGACTGTTCGTGTAGGGGGTTAGATCCATGTTCATTGAAGAGGATGACGGATCCACGAATTCTCCTGGAAGTCGAAGTGTCGTTCCATAAGCGAGTTGAGCCGCAGTGTATTCAATGTCAGCTTTCACTGAATTGCGAATACCTAGTAAGACGAGTGGAAGGGCGTCGGTCCATTGTGAAACGTTTGCAGCTGATAGGAAAGCTTTTAGTTGTCGGTGAAAACGTTCTACCAACTTGTTTGCTTGTGGATGGTAGGAGGTCGTTCGGAAGCGAGTGATTCCTAAAAGTGTGGTCAGATGACGGAAACGTTCGGATTCGAACTGACCCATCGTTCGACGAAGGTGCGGGCCACTGTTTCAGCAGTGGTGTCCTTGACGGGTACTGCTTCTGGCCATCGAGTGAAACGGTCTACGCAGGTTAAGAGGTAAGAGTATCCATTTGAATCTGGTAAAGGTCCTACCAAATCCAGATGAACATGGTCGAAACGAGCATCGGGAGTTTTAAACGAGCCTAAGGGACATTTATTGTGTCTGATAACCTTAGATTTTTGGCAGCTTACACAGGAGCGTGCCCACTCCCTCACGTCTTTATTCATGCCAGGCCAGCAAAACCGTTCTGCTATAAGCTTGATGGTTGCACGAACACCTGGATGAGAAAGTTTGTGCAATGTATTGAAGACATTGCGTCGATAATGTTTCGGCACGATTGGGCGATCCCTACCTGTAGATGTGTCACAAAGTAAGGTTTCCTTACCTGTTCCCATCTGTTTGATGCGTAGTTTAAGTGTTGTG